TCCCGGGAAGTCGTAAGTTGGTCTGAGCAGAAGTGCGTGCAACGCGGCTCGGCGGCGGATTCAGGCCAGGATGCTCCTTGCCACCGCGTCCCAGAAAGGAAGCGACCCGAGGTGACCAAAAGCATTGACGCATTGCCAATAGTGGCCTGGCGACATGGCTGTGCATCGTATCACAGCCATTCTTCCTGTTGTCGCGCCGCGCTGTGCTGCGATCGCGTGATTTAACCTATTCAGCAACGTCACGCAACACCGTGCAGGCGTTTCGCGTCCAACATCAACTTGAAGAACAGCATATACAGTAGGAGCAAGTTATGGGAAAGGCTTAGGAGCCCACAGAGCTCAAGCCACATGACAAAGAGGCGTAGCGGCAAAGTCAGCCGTGCGTGCAGCTGATAGGCTACGTACGTAGTGGTACGCTAGTAGCAGTAGCGACACGCTTTGGCCAACATGCAACGTCAGAGCCATGCGGGGTCTGAGGCGTCTACGGGCATCGAGCAAGAACGCTCGAGCCGCCGAACAAGATGCCGCTTTCAACAGGGAACGAGACTCCTTACGAGGAAAAGCTCATACCCGGTGAAAAACAAACTTACAATGTAAGAGCCTCTGTCAGCCCCCGTAGTTACGATGATTGGTGACCATGAATAGCGTATGATAAACCTAAAGGTGGCCGAGATTCAAAAAGACCACCTCTTCACATGGAAGGAACTGGATAAGGATACGCAGGAAAGAGTGCAGAATGAAATCATCCGTAAGCTCGAGGAACAAAAGTTGCCCGAAGCCAAGCCGGGTGACGTGAAGGCGAGCATAGCAAAGAGGTTGAGGTCACGGAAATACGACGGCACGTAAAGTCGTGCGCTGCTGAATGCCTAGTGCTAACGTTGTCTCAGAAACAACAAGGAAAGAGCCGTGGAGCGCCGCCACCCTAGTGCCGAGCGAATCTCCACCTTATGACCCAGTTCGGGACGCTGCTGCACAGCATCAGATCTTGCTCCTGAATGCGCAGAAACGTGGACCCAACCTGGAGGGCTAACGGGTGAGGCCCCAGGTTATGCAGACGCTATCTCAAATAAAACCGTCATCTCCACGGACATGCCATGATTTTCTACTCCCGATTCTTATCACACTATACCTCAGTGTACTTAGCTCACTACATGCCCAATGATTACGGCTTAATCTATCAATGGCCATTGGCGACTGCATAAAAGGGTGGAGAGACAGCTTGAATGACATGATTCGGGGGTATTCACGGAAAGATGATGCGCAATACCGGCTGACGCCTGTGGCTGGTTCGCTTCGAGGCATTACGTACCCAATGTATCTGCCACGGCTGATCCCTAGAAGAAGACAGTCTAGCCGAATAAAAGGCTCTGAGTTTCATGTGACTGCAAAGGACGGTCCAAGCTCGCGACATCCACATAAAACGAAAGATAAGAATTCATTTGCCGCGAATAGGAAGCATCTGCAAAGGATTGATGCAAGCGCATACCGCTATCATTACGCACTTTAACCAATGCATTGTCTTCTCTCCATAGTACTCGGTAGGTGCATCTAGGCCCATGAAAGTGATTTGAATAAGCAATCTGTTAAGTTGGAGAAGTACAAGGGCATGTAGCGAGGGGCCTTCATATCAACAATGGTCGAGTATAGCCATACGCAAACAAGTTTACAAATGAAAGGATTGCAAGATGTGCACATCATGTACCTTGTTTCAATATGCACAGATGGCGTGTCATAGCCATTTGCAGGTGAGCAGCATTGTCTGCAACACACTGCATGTAATGACACTGCAGCACATGTGCCTAGTATGCGCGTGCTGTTGTCAGTAGTACACACAAGGCTGGTAATATTCCATGTCTAATAACGTCCACTCCAGCACCGGTTGTCTTCGCGTCATTGGCCATCAACTCGCCTCCAGATCATCCCCACTACCCAAATGCAAGGTTTTTCGTTTGTTACTTCACATACGCCGCTGGCTTGCTGAGATCTTAGATCCACTCTCTTTCAAAACGTCATTGGGTCGAGAGTCTCACAGGAAGCTCAAGTCCCTCCTACCGTCGTAAATAAACATATGAAGACCGCCTGTTCCGCCGGCGTTTCCATCACTTCCATGGTCCGCAACCCAGCCGCACTCTTTCCAGGGCAGCTTTGCGATATTGCATAGATATCTCAAGAAAAATAAATCCAAGGAAACATGGCTTCCACCACCATCATGAGTCCTGACACGTCCACGTCTCCTTTCGATGCAACATTAATATCCATGAGTTACATACAAGCTCCTGTAGTTGGCTTTTATTACCTAGGAGCATGCACATTTGGTCTCTGCGTCTTACAAAAGACACGAGTGGTGTCGCAGAAGAGACGGATAAGCATAGTGGTTTTCATGGTCACAATACTGCTGGCGTACATTACAGAGGTCCTCTACTACCTCAGCCGGTCGATAGCCAATTCCGAATACACAGCTCCACAATTCTTCGCCATACGGTGCTTGGGATCGGTGCTTGTCTGGGGCAATCTGTCTTGCAT